GATTATATTAATTAAATCCACGAATAATCAAATCCTCCAAAGTGAAAGTTGCAAATGTGAAGGGCCGACTGTACTTCAGATTTTGGAGATCCAGATAAGGGAGACTCAACTTGGGCTTGCAGTTCATATTGTGCTCCTTGGATGTTCCTCCTCCTCGCTGCCTTATGGGTGAAGGAAGAAACGTTATTTACAGTTTCTTTAAGAATTAACAAAACTTGCATCCTCCAAAAAAGAAAGTGAGAGCTCAATGGGAAGATCAATGTTTTGATTGGCCAAACAACCTACTTGCATGAGACCTGAATAATGATCGGCTAAGGCACCTATAGACTTTTAGAGGAACCCAAACATGTTTGGATCTATAGGCGGCATGAAGAGACACAAATCAATAATACATGAGGATCTCTAGTGTGAGAACTCATTTCTTTGCAGTAGTCTGGAAAAGCTCTATGTGGTTTTGACCCTGGAAGGCACATCTTTTGGACAACAATTCTCCAAGCGCTACTATGGCTGCTGCAGAATTAATGCAGCTTGACACCACTTTAACTGCCGTGGAGTCCTGGGAGCTGTAGTTTGTTGTGGCACCAGAGCCCTCCGACAGAGAAGGCTAATTAGCTCACCAGACTACAAATCCCAGAATTCCATAGCATTGAGCTTGTTAAAGCAATGTCAAGCTACATTAATTCTGCAGTGCAGGTGCAATCAGAGAGAGAGAGAATTAATGTGTCTGGCCCAAGATCACCCAGTGAGTTTTTTTCAATGAGGACTAGAAAACTACATCTCCCAATTTCCTGTCTAAGGGCATAACCTCTGCACCAGAACAACTCTCACACAGCTGTTCAAAGCAATAATTTCCCTTGAATCATAGCCTTAGGAGGTACCCCAAAGACTATCTAGTCCATCCATTGCCTATGGAGATACCCACAGCTAGAACTTGATACCCAAAGCCTTCAGCCTGGATGGGGGGGGGGGGACACTCAGTTTTGCTTGTTTCCCACATTTTACAATCTCAGATCCATTCTGTCACTGACAAAGGCTGCGTCTGCACTGCAGAAATAATTCAATTTGCTTTAACTGTCAAGGCTCAGTGCTGTGGAATCCTGGGATCTGTAGTCTGTTGTGGCATCAGAGCACTCGGGCAGAGAAGGCTAAACAGTTCACCAAACTACAAACCCTAAGGTTCCCTAGCGTTGAGCCATGGCAGTTAATGCAGTGTCAAACTGCATTAACTCTGCAGTGCAGACGCAGCCCTTGCTGCTTTCCAGGGTGAGGATGAGAGGGAAAGCAAACGTCCTCTTTCTCTCCTCTTTTTCCAGGTGTACTGACAATCCCCTGGAGTTGGGATCCTTTTCTTCTTTGCCATCTTCTCCTTCTCCCCATTAAATGGGCGACAGGCATGTATTGACCTTTGGAGTTGGAAAAGTGAAGTATGAATCAGGCCCTGGAGGTCATAGCCTCCCTTTCTCTCTTTCAAAGTTAAGCTCTGCCCATGACTCAACCATTCCTCCATCATCTTTGCTGCTGGTTTTTGCTAGCCGCTGACCTCTTCCTTCGCTTCCCCCCACGGCTCCATAATCCCACCTAATCTCTCTCCCCCTTCCTCCCTCCTGCCCTCCTTCTCTTCACATTTGCTTTCAAATCCAGCCTCCATCAGCTTTCCTGGATTAACTGACTTGACCAATTTACATGCAAGGATTTTGAAACATCAGCATCAGGGGCTGATCCAGTGTCCTCTGCAAGAGCAAAGTTGGAAAGGAAGCACAGAATCATAAAATCATAGAGCTGGAAGAGATCTCCCCTCCTCCCTAAAGGCCATCTAGTCTCACCCCCTGCTGTGCAGGAATACACAACCAAAGCACAGTCAGGGTATACCCATCAATTACTACATTCCAATCATAAGAGTCACCCCAACAGGTTTCAGTGATGCCTATTATGTCCTATTTGCTTTGCTGAGTTAGGAGTTCAAGTTCATCTTATTTATTATTATTGCTTGTCTTGCTCTATGCCAGGGGTAGGCAACCTTTCCCCTTTAAGGGCCAAGGAGGGACTTCAGCTCCCAGAATCCCAGGAGCTATTGGCCAACATGGGACTACTGGCCAACATGGCTGAGGCTTCTGGGAGCTGTAGTCCCTCGGCCCTTAAAGGGGAAAGGTTGCCTACCCCTGCTCTATGCATTACTATTGCAACATCTAAGACCGTGGGCCATTCCCCCAGATGCCTATTTAAGGCTTTTTTTTCCCTCCCACATTTAGGTTTTTGTGCTATTTCTCTTGTTCTCTGTATAACATTATCTATTATCTCCAGCACTTGATGAATTCCTGCCCTCAAGAATGCGGTCTCTCTCTCTGTCATAATTCAGTTTAAAGCCATCCTGATCAGATTTTTGAGACACCTGGCAAAAACTTAAAATCATAGAATCCTTGAGTTGGAAGAGACCCCCAAGGGCCATCCAATCCAGCCCCCTTCTGCCATGCAGGAACTCACAATCAAAGCACTTCCAAGAGATGGCCATCCAGCGTCTGTTGAAGGACTTCCAAAGAAGGAGAGTCTACCACCTCCAAGATGGTCCATTCCATTGTCAAATAGCTCCTTCAATCTGGAAGTTCTTCCTTAAGTTTAAGGTTTAATTGTGTGAATTCTTTTATATTTTAAATTTATACATTTTAATGCTTTATGGCTGCATTCCCACTGCAGAAATAATCCAGTTTGACACCATTTTAACTGGCATGGCTCAATGCTATGGAATCCTGGGATTTGTAGTTCATTGCAGCAGCAGAGCTCTCTCTGAGAAGCTGAAATGTCTCAGAAAAATACAAGTCCCAGAATCCCATAGCACTGAGCCATGGCAGTTAAAGTCGTATCAACCTGGACTATTTCTGCAATGTCGATGCCGCCCTTGAGAGCAAAATACATTTTTAATATAAATTTAATTAATAATACAATATAATAATATAAATTTTAATATAAATGTTATTAATAAATTAATATTAAAAAAAGAACCAGGAGGCCACAAAGACAGCTCCAAGGGGTTCACACATGTGTCATGGGTCACACTTTGCCCACTCTTGCTCTAGGATGTTATTTGCTGCATCCGCACTGCAGAAATAATCCAGGTCGACACCACTTTAACTGCCATGGTTCAGTCCTATGGAATTCTGGGAAGTGTAGTTTGGCACCAGAGCTCACTGACAGAGAAGGCTAAATGTCTCACAAAACTACAATTCCCAGAGCTCCAAAGCATAAAGCCATGGCAGTTAAAGTGAGGTCAACCTGGATTAAGTCTGCAGTGCGGATGCAGCCACTGAGACCATTTCTTGTTCAGCAATTGGAAATAATGCACTAAAAAGATCATTCTTTTCCTATTTTTTAGAAAAATCAACTCGTGCCAATTCTTTTATTTTTAAGTGTTATAATAGCTGCAAGATTAATTTTAACGGCTGGGTTATTCCTTACTCTAAAACCATTACTGGGAGCTGAGTCATTTGCAGGATATTTTTGGCATTATTTTTTTGTACTCTTAATTGATTCTTCTTTAAAAAAGAGAGAGAGAATATTATAGTAACACATTAATAATGTGTCTCTAGCAAGCCGAGCGTGTAACACGTTACTTATTAAAGCTGGGAAATGAGTAATGGAGAGGGACTGCTTTTCATACAAAATAAAATTAGCACTAGTGTCTTAGCTTTAAAAGCAACATTTAAGGTATTTCTGTTTTAGCAAATTGGGCATTTGTTCGTTTCCCAGGGCTTTTCCAAAAAGGTAACTGGGGACGGAAAAAGAAATTGCCTTGTCTCCCAGTCCAAACCAGAGACATTTGCTTTGGACATTTGCTTTGGATGGTGAATTTGACACCACTTTCACTGTCATGGCTCAATGCTATGGAATTCTGGGAACTGTAGTTTGTTTAAAGTGGTGTCAGACTGGATTATTTCTGCAGTGTGGATGCAGCCGTTGTTGCTGTTGGCGCATTTCTTCGAGTTGTTTCCAACATATGGCAACCCTAAGGTGAAACTATTACAGGGTTTTCTTGGCAAGATTTGTTCAGAGGGGGTTTGGCATTGCCTTCCCCTGAGGCTGAGAGAGTGCGATTTGCCAAAGGTCACCCAGTGGATTTCCATGGTCAAGTAGGGATTCGAACCCTGATCTCCATGACCAGGACACAGAGCAAACTTTGGGGTCTCTTCCAATTCTGTGATTCTATGAAAAGAAGATACCATACACTCCAATTGCAATAATAATAAGCAAGATTTAGGGATGGAGAACCAGCGTGGTGTTGTGGTTTGAGCACTGGACTAGGATTCTGGAGACCAGGGTTCGAATCCCGACTCAGCCATGTAAACCCACTGGGTGACCTTGGGCAAGTCACACTCTCTCAGCCTCAGATGGCAAAGGCAACCCCCCTCTGAAGAAATTTGCCAAGAAACCTCCATGATAGGGTCACCATAAATTGGAAACGACTTGAAGGAGGCACACTACAAGGGATGGAACAGAGAGAATATTTTAAAATATTCATAAAATTCTTCCCCAAATAATAGGTTTTTCAAGTGTGAAGAAAGCCTCTTGGGAGAGTGAGAATTTTTGCAGTTTGGCATTTCTTCTGTGCAAAATTCAGACATGACTGCTTTGTGTAGAAAACTCCATTTCCTGGGTAGGAAGCAGAATTTTCTGTACAGAAAATGCTGTTTTATGTGCAAAAACATAAAGAAAGAAAAACATTGCAATTGTGACCAGATTCTGAACTCCGGCTGGCTCCAAGAAGCACACATTTCCCTTGCTGCAACAACTCCCTTATCCATTTTTGGGCAGAGTTCAAACATATGGTAAAAACCAGTTCAAAGTGCTGGTTATGACTGATCTCTATGCAGCTCAGGTCCAGGTTATTTGAAGGGCCATATTCTCCTTTATGAGCCAGCCTGTACTCTGAGATCTGCATCCAGCATGGTGTAGTGGTTTGAGCACCGGACTATGGCTTTGAAGACCAGGGTTCAATTCCCTGCGTGGCCAAGAAACCCATTGGGTGGCCTCGGGCAAGTCACACACTCTCAGCCTCTCAGGAAGGCAAAGGCAACTCCTCCTCTGAACAAATCTTTCCAATGACATGTTTGCCTTTAGATCAACAGACATCGAAAACATCCTGAAGGCACATAAAAATAGAAAACAGCATTTTCTGCAGAGGAAACATTATTTTCCCCCCCTGTACTTCTCCATAGGAATATTATTTCCTACACAGAAAATGCTGGCCTTTGTGCAGAAAATGGTGATGTCTGTGCAAAACAACCCTATGTGAATTTTGTGCAGAATATGTTTTGATGGGAAATAGGTTTCCACTGCTGTGTGGTTTTTCAAAGCAGGGAGAAAACTGATAAAATTACTCCTGCCTTCCTGAGAGAAGAAACATAAAGTGAGGACTCAACTCCTTAGCAAGAACCCCCCAAAAGAAACTTTTTTCAAAAAATTCAGATTTTTTTTTTTTAAAAAAAAAGAGCACAATATTCCAAAGCAAAAGCAAAGGTTCTAAAAATAAGTCCAAACCAAGGAGAGCCAATGTCATATTACCCAGAGAGCTTGTGCGGAGCAGAGCTTTTAAGAGCCGGAGATTTGAGAAATCATTTGGAACCGGCTGCCAGAGGCTTCGGGGCTCTCTGGCCCAGGAAAGTCTTTGGCCAAAAGTCCTCTCTCTCTTCTTCTGGCCCAGCAGCAGAAATCAGGAATTAATCTGATTGCAAGCAAGAGTTAGGAGCTTAAACTGATCTCTTCCTCCGCGCGCGTCAAACTGCGGCCGATGGCGGGGGGGTTGCCCTTAAAAACGCTCTATTTGCCGTGAGCTTAGGGCATTGGAAACAGAGGTCCATAATGTCCAGTTTCGGAAGGCATCCAAAGAAAAGCTTTTTGTCTCCGTTAAGTATGGAGAGATGGGATTTGTGGTCGGTCAGTGTGGAATCCAAGGATGTCTTTCTGTTGGATCACACTCCTGTGTCTCTGAGAAATGAGGAGTCCCAGTATCCTTCTGTAGATCCACCAGTGTACCCCAAAACTCATCCCAAAGACTGGAGAACAGTTGGGAAGATGTTGCACATGGCTCCGCCATGTGCAACATCTTCCCAACTGCTCTCCAGTCTTTGGGATGAGTTTTGGGGTACACTGGTGGGTCTAGAGAAGGATACTGGGACTCCCCAGTTCTCTAGGTCAAGAATCCTAGAATCCTAGAGTTGTGAGAGACCCCCAGGGGCCATCCAATCCAACCCCTTTCTGCCATGCAGGAAGACACCGTCAAAGCCCACCTTGTGACGGGTGGCCATCCAGCCTCTGAAAACCTCTAAACTCCATCATCCTCTGAGGCAGCAGCATCTTCCGCTGTTGAACGGCTCTTACTATCAAGAAGTTCCTCCTAATGTTGAGGTGGAATCTCTTTTCCTGTGCTTTCCATCCATTGCTCCATTGCGTCCTATTCTCTGGAGCAGCAGAAAACAAGCTTGCTCCATCGTCAACATGACACCCCTTCAAATATTTAAAGAGAGCTATCGTGTTACCTTCTTGAATTGTGGTGCCGAAAACTGGACACAATATTCCAGGTGAGGCTGACCAAAGCAGGATAGAGTGGCACTATGACTTCCCTGATTCTAGACACTAGGCTGTACTTCTATTGATGCTGCCTAGAATCGCATTGGCCTTTTTAGCTGCCACATCACACTGTAAGACTCTCAGTTCCCTTTTGCATGTACTTTCACATGTATGTTCAAGTCAGGTGTCACCCATCCTATAGCTGTGCATCAATCTGATCTACTAAAACTGTGCATGCTGCCCATAATTTTGTTTCGTTTTTATAGTGTTCTTGCATAATGTATTTTAATGTAATTGTCAGTTTAATCTAGTTTTAAGGGGTGGGAGGGTTAGGGTACAGGGATTGGTTGTTTTAACTTGTTCATGTTTTAATTATGCTGTAACCCGCCCCGATTGCTTAGCAGAGGGGCGGGCTATAAAATTATTATTATTATTATTATTATTATTATTATTATTATTTTGCAGAAAAGGTGGCATACAAATAAAGGAATGGATTGGTGATACAGCCAGATTATTTCCATTTTCCATTTATAAGAGACATCTCTCTGCCTTTACTGCTGGAATTCAACAGAAGAGCCTTGGGGTTCAATTTGGGATATAGATGATAGATAGATAGATAGATAGATAGATAGATAGATAGATAGATATTTGCCCACAGTGTCTCCTTCTGTCCCGTTCATCTATTCTAAGCCTTTGATTCCAATATGAGAAAAACATAGGAATAAAGAAACTTTCTAAAACTCAGAGGCAATGATGTTACTCTCAGATTTGGAGATGGAGGGACCAGGAAAGGTTACTTTAGTTAAGTATAATTAACTATATTATACTTAACCAGGCAGTCGATATACAGAATATTGCCCACTGCTTTAATTTTGCAAGCTACTTCGCCTCTTGGTTTTGAGAGGAAAGGGCTATAATTAAAGTTAATACAGTATCCTGGAGGAATGGATATCTAAAACTGCAGATAATAGGAACCCAATTATTTTCAATACGTAGAATGACTTCCAGAGCAAGCATACCATAGAACCACACTGGAGGACCTAGAAATGCCTGGAGAGAAAGCCTACGACTTCACACCTGGAGAGAACATTTCTCTAGGCATTTCTAGGCCCTCCACCACAATTCTATTGTATGTTTTGGCCAGATGTTGGCCATAGAGTTGTAGTGGAGGACCTAGAAATGCCTAGAGAGGGTTTGTTTGGTTTTTTCCAAATGTGGATAAGAAATACTGTGGATACCGAATTCATGGATATAGGATTGTCCTGTAATAGCAATAGCAGAGGGGAGGAGGAAGAGGAGGTTGTGGATTAGAATCTGAGAATCCTAGAGTTGGAAGGGACCCCCAAGGGTCATCCAGTCCAACCCACTTCAACCATGCAGGAATACACAATCAGAGCTCTCCAAACAGCTGGCCATCCAGCGTCTGCTTAAAAACCTCCAGAGAAGGAGACTCCACCTTCAAGGGAGCATCTTCTATGTTCAAACAGCACTTACCCTCAAGATGTTCTTCCTAATGTTTAGCTGGAACATCTTTTCCTGCATCCATTTCTCCATTGTTTCCTATTCTCTGGAGCAGCAGAAAACAAGCTTGCTCCATCCTCAATATGGCCTCCCTTCAAATATTTAAACAGGGCTCTCATGCCACCTCTTAGCTTTCTCTTCTCCAGGCTAAACAAGCTCCCTAAATTTCTCCTCATGGGGTTTGATGGTTTCCAGACCCTTCACCATTTTGGTTGCCCTTCTCTGGACACGCTCCAGATTGTCCAGAGGGCGATCTCTCTGAGATCAATTATTATTAACTTATAAAAATTCATACGGGACTTTTAAGCTTTAAACTGACAGGCAGTTACAACATAATACCGTCAAGCCCTCCATATCCACAGATATATATTTTTTTTAATCCATGGATTCAAGCATCCAGTTTGAAAACATTTTTAAAATATATACATCTCAAAAGGCCAACCTTGATTCTGCCATTTTATATAAGGGACTCTGCCACTGTATTTAGTGGGACTTGATCATCCATGGATCTTGGTGTCCACGGAGAGTCCTGGAACCAAATCCCAGTGGATATTGAGGGCCCACTGTATGCCAGACCTAATGGTAGAGAAAAATAACACTTGGATTAGAGATGTGGCAATGCCAGGAGGCAACAGAACTGAAGCCAAAGAGAAGGGGAACGATTATACAATATTGAGAATTAGAAATAGAGACTCAGAGCCTCTGGAAATGGGGAAAGCAAGGAGGATGATTCCAGGGATGAGAGATGCTCTGGAAGTCACTTTGGAGACGCTGAATGAAATTGCCATGGACAGGACAAATGGAAACGCAAAGCATTGGGAACTAGTAAGAAAAGCATTGGAAACTAGTAAGAAAAGCATTGGAAACTAGTAAGAACACCAACGAACAATGAATGGATTAATAAACTTTGGGATGCTATGGACTCAGATGTCTTGACAGGTCTACTAAACGGAAAACTGGAAGAGGATGTCATTAAAGACTGGAGAAAATGTAAAAACTACTATGGAAAGAGTTAAATAAACAGGAACTAGAGGATTTGTAATTAGGGAAACAGAAAGGTACTGAAATGATCAATTTGAGAAAAAAGTAAATCGATTGTAAGATACCAAAGCTAACAAAATGAAATTCAACACGGAGAAATGTAAGGTACTG